GGGGGGGTTCTCAGCTCGTGCAACTTGAAAATCGAGGGTTGCGTTGAGTCTTTGACGATGGAGAAGGTTGGGGGAGGGCGTGGTTACTTACTAAAGTACATACATTCGCTTATGCTTACGGCGCAATGTCTGGTGTCGTCACCGAGGGGCCCGCCCGCAGCCAAAGGGAACCCAGGGCGGAGCCACTGCGGCCCCCGTCAGGTCCCCGTTGGAATGCTGTTGGGTTACAGGGCCAATGAAGGATATTCTGTGTATTTTTTTGCATGACAGACACTGCGTGACACCGGGGCATTCTGCGTATTCCAAGCCCCGCGTCTCTGTTGCAAGTGTCTGTATGCCCAGCAACGAGCCAAAAGGTCGAAGCAAAACACCATCCGGATACAGTCTAGTCTCACAAATAACGCACAACCGCCGCTAATACGCTAAGCATGCTCCGTCCTTTGTCCGTCAAACCGCCATGTGGCTCATGTGGCTGCACCTCATGTGGCGCAGGCCCAACCCCCAAATTCCCGACGTCGGCCAAACATCCCACCAACCCCAAGCTCGACCATGTAAATTGATGGCCTCGCGTATCCCACGCCATATCGCACCATGTCGCCCAAGCACATAGGCCCCATTGCCCAAACATGGTATAAGTGGAAAGCTCTGCGCCTGCCCTGGCGAAAGCGCTTCTTCATCGGTGAGTTGACCCCCATGCCGCGTGCCGAAAAAAGAATAAAGGACAAGAGAAAGCCCCTCCCGTCATGGTCCTCCCCAACTAAAAAGAGAAAAAAAACGTCGACGCAACCGCAGGCTACGACTTACATGGCAACACATACTGGGAATTCCGCCTCACGAAGCCATCGCCCGGCACGGCGCCGTCCGACTCCCGCTGGCGCCGCATCGTGCACTACCCCCGATCGACGCACTACTCGCAGGTCAAGGTGTCGCCCCTCTGGCACCAGTGGCTGCGGCACACGCGGCGCGATCCGCCGTCCCTGGAGGAACAGGCCGGCGACGTCGCGAGACAGGAGAGGATGAAGTATCTGGCCGCCGAGGCGGACGCCAGGTGGGAGGCCAAACCGCGCGTCATGGACCACGTCAGGCCTGCTGCTGCTGCTGCTGCTGCTGCTGCGCCGCAGGAACAAATAGCACGGCCGGCCGAGAGGGCCGCAGGAGAAGAAGAAACGTCGGGGGCCCAAGAACAAAGGTCAGAAGAAGACGGGCCGCGACAAAGGCGTGTGCAAGGCAAGGAGGATCCTTGGGCGAAGGCGAGGCCACAAGGCCCAGGTGAAACGTGGCAGCCGACGGCTTGGAATCCAGCCGCCGCCGTCGCGAAGAAGAGATGAGGAGATTGACCGTGAATCATGGAACGTATATTGATATCCTGGCTGGTACTGGAGCCTTTGTACGATTATGAATTGTGTCCAGTTTGTATAACAAAGGGGGTAGAGTGATTAATATATATATGTATATATATCTCTGCATGCATCGTAATCAACCTACGATTGCCGCATGACAAGAAACAAAGTGTAAAAAGGAACAAAAAACTCCAGACATGCCGTCATCTACAATACAGTGTCCCAACTTCCCAGCACTCGCTCCATGTGCACTTTATCCCTGATCCTTCCAAAACGCCGGATATTATCCCATCCTTACGGTCATAGCCTCGTGAGTGCCCGAAATGCAAAGTGCCCTCCAACATTGTTTTATAAGACATGCCATCGAAACCGCCACCGACAGATGGATATTCCCCGTCTCCTCGTGCAACAACGACGTCTAATCAGACATATCAAGAGCTGTCTCCTTGAGTACCTGAACTAACATTCGAATCCTCTCCCCCGACTGCGTCAGCACATCCTTCGCAGAAACATCGCTCGATTCAGTGTGCGCCTTCCCCGTACGTTTCTTCTTGGCCTTGGCTTCTCTCGCCCGTATCCCCTTTTCGCATGCGTTCCCGAAACTATCCGTGTATTCAATCATATCGGATATCCAGAGTAGTTGGATCGCACTTTCAACCAGCAGCGAAAGTTTGGCGTTGTCTTCTAGGCTCACGGTATTTGCTGCCATTGGCACGTAGCAGTATTCTAGCATGTCCATGGTAAGTCTGCCATTCGCGTCGCCTTCAGGGTCGATTTTTGCGGTACGTTTGCAATTTTGCGGCAGAAGCAGGCGAAAGAGCTCCTGTATGAGAGGGACGTGGATTTCAGGCGGAAGCGGGTTCTCTCTTTGCGCGACGTAGAGCGAGTAGAGTGGAAGAGGGAGCTTCTTGATCGCGAGTACATAGTCCTCATATAGATTGCCGAGCTCGCGCTGTTTGCGGAGAACGGCCGTAGCAGCGGACAGGATCCTGAAGAATCTCAGGCGAATGCCAATCGACTCGACCAAAGCGGGACTCAGAACCCCGATTGTATCGCTATTCCTTCCATCTCGGGGTTTCTGCGGGGTGGGTGGTTCCGAGACGCCCGATGAAATGGAGTCGTCGTCGAAATAGTCTCCAAACTTACCATTCTCCAGGTCAAGAACTTGCTCCCTCTTTCTCTTCTTGGTCACCTTCTTTGGGCCACGCGGTTCCTTCTCAAACACCTCGGGGAATGTAGACGACGACAACGACTGGCCGTCCGCAAAAAGAGCCTTGATAATGCGCTTCAAGGCCGCGTGCCCGTCCATGTTCTGCTCCATGTACATGGCCACCATCGACTCACTCCGTGCAGTAAGAGGGGCAGCGCCCTCCCCCCCCTTAGCCTCGTGGCTCGCCTCGTCCTGTCGCTCTCTCTCAGCCCAGTCTGTTTCGAGAACATCCAGCATAAATTCGAGCCAAACTCGCCAATGACGCCACCTTTGAGGATACAGTATGCTCGTGTTGAAAGCCCAGCCGACCGTCGTCCAGAGATCCTGGCCCCGAGACCACAAGCTGCCTTCATTGGCCATGCGCCCCTGTAGGCGGTCGTGATCGCGATCCGAGTCTCCATCAGACATGTCGCTGTCGGCGTTGGGACTAGTGAAACCTGAGCGACGCGTCCATCGTGATGATGCGTGGAACTGGAAGGCAGAGCGGAACCCCGCGTTGACAGGGCCAACGACGGTCAACAGGTTTCGAAAGTAGTCGAGTGCCAGGGCGGATACGTCTCGGTATTCTGGTTTCTCGGCGCGGGTTGTATGGATGGGATGAATGATGAGGGTGTTTAGCAATGCCAGATGACTCGGTGGCGGTATAGGGACTGCTCTGGTAGAAAATGATCTTCTAGATGTGCCGGAGCCGAGCGTGCTATTCAGCAGATTTATCGCACATGTATCTACTCATATTAGCATGTTTCCAGGCGAGAAGGGAGGAGCGAGTGAGGAAGCGTGAGGAAGCAGCACCAGGCTAGGTCTTTACGTACAAAGCTGCTCTTCTAAAAATATGTGGCAGTGACCCTTCAACTCCCGCGGAAGCTGGCGAGCATCACGATATGGACAAGGTAGGGTCTGTGTAGGGCTGCTCGCAGTGGTAGATTCTTCAATCTCTGAATCATTCGCCGTGTAAAATGACAATGGAGACGAGCTTGCACTTTCAAGCGACCTCGTCGCCATCGTGGCCTCGTTGTTTGACACTCCAAGTCGGTTGAAGGGTGTTTGGTGGATGAAGTGTGGTGGTGGTGTGGGCGCGGCGATAACAAATTTCCACGACGCGCTGGATGCGTACCTGCCTAGCACGTCTGGCCGTATGGAGGCGCGAAGCATGCAAGTGGGGAGGGCTGACCGGATTTGACAGCTACGGAACAGCAGACAGTGGGAGCCCACACCGTGTGTTGTCACTACCCGTCCGTACCCGCTTGCCGTGTGCCGCTTTCCGTTCCCCCCTTCTAACATTCAGCATTCGTTCATTGTTACATCGCATCCCCTAAAAGCAGCGAAGACTACAACTAGGTCACAGTATCCACAGGGCCCCGGGTAGCAGCTGGTGACGTCAAGTGACATTAATAATAGTGAAGATTATAGCGTTTATAAGGTAGCGTTTTATAAGCTAGATTTTTATGGGTACTTATATTATCATATAAAATATTAAAGGATTAAGGTACCATGTAAAATTAAGCTTTTAATTGGTTGCTTATCCCCGCAGCTACATAATTGTAGTCTTCGCTGCTTTTAGGGGATAACTGCCTACCTCCTCCCAGTACCTTCATAAAGTACCGAGGTAGGTACCTACAGTCTGCGGCAGAATATGCTTGCCCACCAAGAAGTACGTTATACATTAATACTTATGCTTTAGTTAGTGTATTATAGTACGAAGCGCGATAGCCAGGTACCTGATCTGGTTAAATACCTTTTGCCTTGCACTGCAGTAGTACTGGACATACAGCCCGCTTGACCCTGCTTTAACAAGCCTTGATCACGCTTTGAGCCCTTTGTCAAGAGTCGCGACTACTCTTTACGTACATGTATTTATTTATGCGTGGACAAATATCTCAACGCCATAGCTCATCATGGTCTCATTAACAGAATGCTATTATACAAATTTACTCGCCAACGCCATGCAGGTAGCCATGCGTAGGAGCATGAACATGTACTTTCTCCCGTATATGCCTCAAGATGCAATGCTGCTACATCTATCACCAACCATTCATCCCTCTTTCTTATGCCTGACGACACTTTTATATCCGCGCCAGCTCCATCAGAAGCCCGGCATCCAGCGTCTCCCGCGTATCGTCAGGGCTAAATGCTGAATCTCTGATGCACCCGCCCTAATCACAATCAAAACCAACTATGAACAGACAAGTCGTCAACCTAGGCACCGCCAATCAGCCTACCCGGTCTTGTGCCAAGGGAAGAAGCCAATAACTCCGGTCTATGCTCGCGATGCAACCAGTGCACAATAATCCGGAAGGGTGTAACCTTGCATGCTGCTCTACCTGTATCGAAAAGGAAAAAAAAAAAAATTAAGCAAAGAAAGGAAAGGCGGCCTCTACTTCACTTCAGTCGTCGGCGCTGTTTTGGTATCTTGGTTCCCCTTTTCTCCCCCTCCCGCTTCGCACTCGGTTATCCCTTCGTCTTCCTGCGCTGGTTGCTGCTTGGCCAGTATTTGCTCAAGAATATGCGATGCCTCTGCAGAGTACTTGCACTTAAAGCGAACCTTCTCGCCATACTTGTAAAACAAGAAAGGAAACGGCATGCAGGCGAGCGCTAAAAATGCTGGAATCGAGCTGGCCCAATGAACACCCAGATCCTCGTACATTTTTCCCGTGAACAGCGGGAAAATACACCCAAACAGTGATCGAAGCACGGCACTGCCGGCCAGAGCGGAGGCTGCGTATATGACATCTGGTTTGTGCGTTAGCACATGCATCCCTTTCCACCAAGCCTAAGTGACTTACATGAATCAATCAGATAATTGAGAAGTGACAAGAAAACTAGAACCAGGCCGGCAGCAAAAATCGATGACCCGATAATGGGTACAACCCAGTGAACATTGGTGCCGTTTGTCCATGCAAACCAGAAAAGACCAACCGGGAGAAGAACACTGCCCGCTAGAGCTGGAGGAAGTCGCGCTTCCGGAGGTGCGACGCCGCCATGTTTTGCCGCCGTGCGCGCATATCGTCCATTGTCCAATATCGAACCAGTTGCCGAAGCAATCATGCCAATCGCAATACCCACAAAGGAAAGCCCTCCAACGCCGGGTTTCCAGCCCCAACCTTGGGGGTAAGGAGATTGGAAGACAATTGGGAAGGCGGCGAAGCAAAGATACAGAGTACCGTAAACGATGGCCATGTAAATGCTGGTGAGGAATACAATAGGCTCCTTGAACAAGAGGACCCAAGGTCTTGAGAGGTTGACCTTGATTTGGCCAAACAAAGTTTTGCGAGGCATCGCCGCATCAACCTTCGATATATACACTTTGCCGGTTCGTTTTGATAACTCCTCGGCTCGTCTACGCAACAATACCGGGGAATAAGTCTCAGGGGCAACAAGTGACTGGATAATCCAGAGTGCGCCTGTAAAGATAGCTGTCAAGCCCTCCACCCATCTCCAACCTTCAGCCTCGGCCAGAAATCCACCGGCAATAGGGCCTATGTCTACATTAGTCCTCTTGCCATGACATGACTGTGTGTTTCTTGGGGTTACATTGAGATCCCCGCCGCAACAAAATGCTCTGCACCAGCAATGGCAAGTAATGGAAAGGCCAAAAACAACAACATACCTAAAGCCGGACCGAGAAATGGAGCAATTGCAAATATACTGGTGGCAATTCCTCGTTCTTTGGCTGTGAACAGATCTGCAATGATACCGCCAGAGTTGGTCAGAGGCGAAGATCCCCATGCGCCAGCCATGAAGCGCAACACAATGAGGGCCGCCATGTTTGGTGCACCAGCGCCAGCCGCATTGAAAGCTGTCAGCGCCATATACGTCAGAAAGAAGAGCTTTTGTCGGCCATAGAGCTCAGAAAACGGTGCCCAGAACAGAGGCCCAATGGCAAAACCAAGGACGAACATGGACACTCCGAGAATGGTGAGCTCGGTCGAGGCGTGAAATTCTTGGTTGATGGAGAGAACGCTGCCCGAGTATGCGGAGCTGGTAAACGAAACCGCCAGAGTCGATATCGCTGCAACAATCATGATTGTCCACTTGAAGGGGCTGGAGAATGTCATTGGATTTCTCGGGTCGACGGGTAAGAAATCAACGAGATAGGGCGACTCGTCTGTACCCTGGCCAGGATACTTGTGGTTGAGAACGGCGTCATCGACACCAGCTTGGTCGGTCAAAACACTCCAATGAGAATGCTTTTGTGATCTTTGTGACTGCTGAGCCTCTACATCCCGATCGGCGGCCGTTGCTGACGACGAGGATGATGAATGTGCCGCCATAGCTTGTGGCTATGTTGGCGAGGCTACGCGTTGACCCAGGCTTTTATGTATCTCGGGATACCGTGAGCGCGGTGATATTCGTACAAGATCAAGATCCGGAAGGGAAAAGAGAGGAGCCCTTCGACGTCGGTTGAGAATGAATCACGGTGAGCACACCACGGTCCAGGTTAGTGATGGTCAACCAAGACAGACCCCTTCGTGATGTCTCACCGAGAGTCTCAAGATTTGGTCGCCAGATGGTGATTATGCAGATGGCGACCAGGGTAGCAAGTCTTGACAGTCGTAAATTGCAACAGCGGCAAAGAAAGCCGGCTGCAGAGAGAGGGAGGGAGAGGGAGGGAGGTAGTCGTTGGATGGGCGAGGGGATGTGGGTGTCGTCGGATGGTGCTACAACAATTGCTTTGTTGGTTGTAACCCGAACTCTAGGCACGAACTCGGTAGCAGCCAAGTCATCAAACCGAATCGGCCGAGATTAGTCTCACGACCCAAGGCGGAACGGGTTGGGCGGGTGGAGAGGTGGAAGGGTGGGATAGGATATCACCCTGTCTTCTCAAGGCCTTGTCTAACGGAAAACAGGGCCTTGTTGGCAAAATGGGTGGTATTCTGGCCTTCAGAATCCGGGTCAGGTCCACTATCTCAGCAAGCAGTTGAGCAACTGCAGTTGGGTCAAAGACGGAGATGTTGGTCGGCAATGACGGTGCCGTGGTCCGAGGGCGATGTTGGGGTGCTGTGTTACTCGAGTGGTGATGATAGACACCAGGTCGTCGAGGGCATTGGAGAGAAGAAAGGCAGAAAGTTGGGAGGCAAGGGATGGTCTAGAGATGGAAGAACTTGAGCACTGCCAGAGTCGTACCATGTTGACGGGCATTTGCAATGGGACGGACATTGCAGCACCGAGGCAGTACTAGTACTAGCATGTATTACATACAGTTGTACATGCAGTGTACGTAGACACCAGAGCCGGACCCTCGAGACATCAAAAAACCCAGATCGCGCATTGTGGAGAGGGACTGAAGGCTTGTCCGATTCGGTTCACTTGGGCAAAACGGCGGTGCGCTTGGCTCCGCTCCCTCGCGTCTATTGTCTGCTGTCGATGCTTGCTGGGGGCCAAGGGGGCCAAGTCCCGTGGCCCTCAAATCTAGTGCATCTCAATAACGCCGCCAATTGTTCTCGACAACTGGCGCGCCGACATGACTTTTCCAGCACTCGAGGGTTCGTGCTGCTTGAGCCATGGGCCAAGGAAGCACCAAGAAAAAGAAATCCTCTGAAGCCGCCAGCCAAAGCAGCCATGGTTTAGGCCAGCAACGGCGCAGAACCTGGCGTCGCTTTCAGGCGTGCGCGGCCGCATTCCTGCCATCCGCACCTTCGGCCGCAAGCCAACCGCCGACCCAGGTGCCAGCAATCCAGCAGGGGCCTGGGCCGCAACAGGGCTCAAGCTTGCGTTGTTTGGGCGAACTCCAGCGACAGCCTGGCCAGCATCCGGCCGAGAAGCGGCCTGGCAGAGACCAGTAACCCCGGTGGCTGACTTTAGTGCAGCAGCAGCAGCAGCATCTGCGTCTCGTCGGCTCCGGTCCGGTGTACGTAGTATTACCCATTGATACAATGTTCCCCCCGCAATTCGGGCTGCCACGTACAGAAATACTCCTTCCCTCTCAGCACTAAAGAGATTCCCAATGTTCTTGCAGCCCAACATTGTGTGCTGCATGCAGGAGCCGAGAGCTCCCAGCCAGATCGGCGAGAATGGCCCCAATTTTTAAAAAGCTGTACGACATAGCATGCCCTTGGTATTGTTGCTTGAGAACCGGCCAGTCGATGAAGGTCTCATCTGGCCGAGACTCATGTTATGCGGACAGGCCTAAATATCAATTTATACAAATTTGAGCTACTTGGGTATCTGCGTCAAACATACATGCGTGGTTTCCCGTGTCTAATCTTCGAGGCCCTCCCATTCACTCTCTTCCGCGTCGCTGTCGTCATCATTTGCGCTTGCACTTTCGTCATCATCGTGACTCTCGTTGCTGTTGTTCATGCTGCCATCTTCGCCGGCGTTGTCGTCTCGGCCGACAAGAGAAATAGCAGTACCGGTGGACTTTGACACGGGCATCCCAACCATGTCTCGAACTATGGCACCGCTTTCGCCTCGCATGTACGGGCCATCGCCGTCTCCGTCTCCGTTGGCGTTGGCGTGGTCGCGGACAAATCCCGCCACAAAGAAGCCCATGATCCCGTGGCCATCGTCCTTATAGGATCGGATACACCCCTGGGCCACTTCCTCGTCCCCATTACACGCTTCGGTGCTGCCCCTTACTGGCCAATCCTTCATCCCCGTGACTTGGTCATTTCTCCTCAAGATGCGCCATCCTCTCTCTTTTGCAACATCCGACTTCAACGCTGCCATGACAACGTCTTCGTTCTCCTCAGAGTGAATTGAGCACGTAGAATAAGTCACTTTCCTGGCAGACGGGAACCGGAAGGCATGCAGCAAAATAGTCAGTTGAAACCCAGCCAAGGCGTTTAATCGTGCAGCCAGATCCTTTTCCGATTCGACGACAATCTCGTTTCCATCATCGTCGCGGATAACTGTTTGATTGGAGTCCCGAACTTGATCATATTTCCTTTTACGCTTATTCGTTGACTCCGACTTGGACTTGTGCCCCGGATTCTGTCGCGGAGGGTCAGGTAAATGAAGTTCTGGCATGGAATCTCGGCCAACAATTCCACTTCCAGAGCAACTTGGATCCAGGAGCAAGGCACCGACGTTCCTAAATCTCTCTGACTCTGGGTCCACCTGCAAGAAATCTTGTCCGAGTGCAATGCGTGTCATTTTACTTGATCCTGCAATTTTGACCATCTTTTCCAATGTCTTTGCTCTTCTAGAGTCCTTTTCAAACGCAAAGATGGTTTGTGGCTGTGACTCAAATTCGGGTTCATGGCTGCGAATGATGCCCGCGAGGTGCGTGGTCTTGTTGCCTGGCGCAGCGCAAGCATCTATCACATCACCATCTTCAGACCTAGGGTCTAGGAGGTAAGCTGGGAAGCACGACGCCTTGTCTTGCAGGATGATTTTGCCAGAGTTGTACGCCTCCGCCTTGCTCAAGTCGCAACCGGGAGTGACGGCCACTAGATTAGGGACATGAGGGTCGATGAGTATATGCTTCCCTTCCTTCGCAACCACATCTTGTATAGTGCCAGCCCTTGCGTAGCCTCTAAAAGTAGTCTCCAGTTGCTCTTCAAGAGTACTCTTTATGGCGTTAATGCGCACCCAACGCGGGTGAGCAGCTTCTTCACCGGCCGCGGCTTTCTCAACTTGAACCTTCAATAGCTCTAATGATGGTGCCTTGCGTCGCAACCTGGCCCGAGTAAATTCAGAGCTGAGACGCCCCTTGTGCCTCTCAACGCTAGACCTAAGACCGTGGCTCTGTGGCAGCGCGATGCCGCCTTTGGCAAGTAACAAATCGTGGACCAAGAGCAAAGCCAGAGTCGGCGTAAGCTGTACCTACAGGTTAGCCGATCTTTCCTACTCAATGATGCCAGACGAAGTCCAAAGAGACATATTCACCTTGCGCTCTATTTTGAGTATATCAGCTCCTTCTATGACTTCCTTGAGGATGGCGCTCCATTTACAGGACTCAGACACCAGGGCGTAGAGTTGCTTTGGCGCGGATTTAATGCCCTTCCTTTGATAGACACGGGATTTTAAGCTCCCTCCTTCCTGAGAGGATGTTGACAAGATGTCAGAGGCCTCATGATACAGAGACATTTTTGAAATGCAACTGATGAAAAGAATGAATTGTAAGCTGAAAGGCCATGCATGGTATTGCGGTCGGTATCAAGTTTTCGCAGAGAAGGCAAGTGCGCGTGTCGAGCCGTGAAGAACGGAAGGTTTAATTGGCCGTAGTTCTCCCGACTTACACGATTACCCTCCGGCGGCCCATAACTACGAGGACCATACTCAACATACTAAAATGGGAATGATAAGACGTGCAGCCCTTGCAGTGGTATCCAACGCCCATAGTCTAGTAATCAGTTCATATCTACCATTATAGATGAGTTGATTCGAGCTGGGTCTAGGTCAAATGTGTTGAGAGAGAGCAGCCGCACAAGGGTTGCGGTCAATCACTTGAACGCCGGGGCGAATTTAATGCCCAACAGAGTGCGCCAGAGTGCGCCTAGTTTTTGTCTACCTAATCTGTCCCGAAATGACAAATTATCCAATGCTGTATGCCAAAATCTGGAGCAAATGCCTCCGAGGGCCAACCCTCCAACTCTGCCATCAGTCAAGAAAAAAAGGGGCGACGCAGGCTTGTTGAAAGAAGAACAGAATCCAAAGAAGTTCCCGAAATACAGTGACAAGAATCGAAGCATCCAAAAAGTAACAAAATCCGAACTGTCCCAAGTTCCAAAACAATATGTCCATGAAATATCCCCACAGGTACCACCACTGATCATGCAATCGCCCGAGGCAGTGGCCAGAATTAAGTAGTTGGCAATCACACTCTCAAAAGAAAAGGCCTAATAGCGAGGGCTACGGTGTCGTTGCAGGTGCTCGTGAGCATGCCTTCGGCTTTTGGCGCCCTTCAAGCTAGCCTCACCATCCTTGCTGTAGACGCTGAGTGCCCAACCTCCTCCGCATGTATCTGATTTATCGTCTTCACAAGCGATATCGCAGGCTGAATCATCAAGCTTCTCAGATCCAACAAGTTCATTGCCACAATAGCACTGGCCACCGTATTCAGTACCAGCAAGTACATAGCCCTTGGACTTGCAGTGAGCCACACACTTGGCGTTGCTAATGGCGCCCAAGTTGGCACGGACATCGCCATCGAGAACACGGTCCCTAGAGTCCTTGAAGCAACCAGCATATTTGAAATCTCCCGCAGTGCGAGTTGAATTTGAAACAGGGCCATCGGTGGCTCCGGGCAATTGTGCCGTTACAGTGATCGTCTCGTAGACAGTGTGAACCTTGGGGGTGCATGCAGATGGTTGAGAAGGCAGCGTAGGCTTAGAACCACCCGCCTCTGAGGTAGACTGTGGCTTGGTGGTTGCGTTGTCAGGATTCTTGGTCGGAGTTGGCTTGTTGTCTCCTGTGGGCGCGACGCTGGAAACTTTGCTGGTATTGTCTCCTCCAGCAGGCTGGGAGTTGGTTGGCTTGGCAGAGCTGGTACTGTCGCCTCCAGCAGACTGAGAGTGCGAGGGTTTGGGCTCATTACCACCTCCGTCGGTTCCATTTCCACCATAAGACCAACCAGTAATGGGATTGTCTCCGGGGAGAGCATCCAAAACACCGTCAACGGTTTCGGGAACTTGTGATTCGATGGTGCAGTCACCCGTGTTCAGACCATTGAGACCAGGGCACTTGTCCATACCCTGGCTGCCCGCATTACAAGTGTCAATGATGTGTTGAAGGAGCTTTTCATCCCAGGCAGCCATGAAGTCTGCATGGTTGCTGTAGCCCGTAGCATCTCCGTTGGAAAGAACAAAAGGCTGCTGACCCTTCCCTTGTTCCCATCGGTCTTTGAAAAGCGGAGTATTCCAGTAAACTTCCAAGAAGAGGTGAGGGACGTGAATCCATCCCTTGGGGCAGTCTGATTTCCCCTTCCCATCATCAGTAGGAAAAGCCATGTTTTCTTTGTAATTGGTCAAGCCCGCAGCAGGGTTGTAGCAAGAGGGGAAGTGAACATCCGCCCTCAAAGGTGATGCGTATCCATCACAGTTCACGTCAGGAAAACCAACACCCTCTCCCTTATTGATGGGGTCCTGGATGCCCGCCGTGAGACCGTTGGAGCCAGCGGGCCATGAAGGAGAATCAAAGTTGGAACGAGGACAAGTCCATTTGACAGGGTTAACAGTGCCTTTGGATGGATCGAGGTTAGAAGTTGCTCCGTCTTTCGGCGGCGTTCGCAGATTCTGATCTCCGCTCATAATCGACAGTCCAACCGGGAACGCCTTTATATCATCATTAGTCGGCTCGAAGCTAGAATCAGTAAAGAGTTAATTGGTGTCGCCTGCGGTGGGATGGAGGAAGTACAAATGCATACAAGTAATAAGCGTTGGCGTAAAACAGTTCGACATCTTCAAGCTTGCCAGTCTTTGGATCTTTGAAATAAAGAGACGGGACCCAGTAGTTACTGTTGTCACCCTTGATCATGGCAGTACTGCATTTGGAGTCCATAAGATCCTTGCCTGTCGAAGTGAGACCGAAGTTACTGCCACCAAAAATGGAGTGGACATGTGTAGACACTTTCCCTGGGCTGACGATAGGGTCCATTCGACCTTTGGTGAGCTGCTTGTTCGTAAAGCGAAGAACAGCAAAGGTCCGTTCGTTCTTGGCCGAAAAACCGGTACCGACAAGAGCCGCAGTAGCGGCTACTGTGTGAAGCTTCATGATGATGTTGCCGCTGTAGTTGTGACAGAAATTTTATTGAAAGGGACACAAACTAAACAAGGCAAATTCAGTCGTCTGGGATTGCAGCGTCAAGGGATGTGTGTGAGCGTTGTTTGCTTTACGGTGTTGCCAGAGCACCAGAAAGAGCGTGAACTGAGATAGGAAGTGCGCGAGTGACCTGAACTCGCAGCGTAGAAAGGAATGAAACAAACAGAACTAAGCTGTTTGAGCTGTGAATAAGGAGAGGACGTGCTCGGCAGCTCGTACAAAGACTGAAGCAAAGGATGAAGAAGAGAGAGCAAAACCCAGGGCAGGCAATGTATAGATAAAAGAGAAAGAAGGCTGAGTCGAGATGTGGCAGAGCCCACCAAGTTTTTGATGTGAGAAATGGCAGGTAGAGCAAGCAGCAGTGAATACCCCTGGAAAAAAGGACTTTATGCCGACAACTCTCACAGCCAACACCACAAAGCGTCCATCTGCAAGGCACACCGTGTGTGTCCATGTGGCGGGCGTCAGCAGTGAACACAATGGATTGGATGGGTGGAGTTTCGGTCCTGCCAATAAACTGATGATAATCTCGGTCAGGACCGTGCCTCTTTTTGGATCCAGGGCTTCTCGCCAAGTCCCTCGACCTTCAAGGGTCAAGTAGTGTCAATGGCTCGTTCTGTTTTTTGTTTTTTTTTTTTTTTTTTTTTTTTTTTTTTTTTTTTTTTTTTTTTTTTTTTTTTTTTTTTTTTTTTTTTTTTTTTTTTTTTTTTTTAACGCCAATGCCTACGTCGACGGGGTATTAGCCTACATGACCATGTCCGTACCTGCATGCGCTTTGGACAAGCTGGTGCTCCGTACAGAACCGTCACTGACAATGATTGGATAACTGAGGGCCTGACTGTGACCATCCGACTTGGCCACCTGGCGCCTGGACCAGGATGGCGACGTTGTGCAATGATAACGTGAGTGTTGACGATGAACCCATGCGTCAAGCAGGCAATGCGCTTCTCCACTACGGAATACGACTCCGTAGCATGGATGTCTCTGATCACCAAGTCATCTCATGCCCTAATACCGATGCAGGTCGAGTCAATCGCAGATTCGCCCACCACGGCAATCAAAACACAAGTGATTTGATTAAATCCCGCACGGAGACATGACGATGTAGGTAGCGAATGGATTTGCCCTCGGGAAGGCTGCAAACAAAACAATGCAGTCAAGTCGGACCGTTGTGACCAGCCTGGACTCTGAACGGAGCCCTGGTTTAACTTTTCGAGGTCAGTTTAACTTTTTTAACATCCGACGATGGGGGCACCCAAAGGACTGAATACGTACGTATGTACTAGTTGTTACCCACCCATCCAAGGATGTATTGGGTAAGTACCTAGGTACCTAAGGTGGAATACACTTCAATCAGTACGGTAGTCGGTGCTCCGAATTTGACGTGGAGGCAGGTGGCGTTTTTCATTTCAATGGTTATGTACTCGGTACTCCGTATGCCGCGAGATAAACGCCCGAAATAAACGTCCGAAATGGGACGAAACACCGAATCCATGTGGAAAAACATCAAAAACATCAGGCAAACATTCAAGAGCCAAACTGTTCTCGCCGGAGCTCCAGGAGGTGGCGAAAGATGCCTCAGCCCCCTCTCTCCTTGACTTGGCAGATTAATGCAAGCAGAGTCTGGGCAACCGCCGACCATGATGCATGCATGATGTTGGCCCTTATTCCCTGCTGTGCTGTCCAGGACTCCTTCCCCTGCCCCTGCTCCTGCTCCTCTCCTGCCAAGGTTAGGTCCGCCGTCTAGGCATGATGAAACGCGCTAGCGCAGGAAGACGGTCAACGCCACCCGATTGGCCGTCTTGCTGGCAACGTCAGATTCGATAGAGCCAAGCAGCCAACATCGAAGCTCAGCCAAGCGCCACAGCGGCAGCGGCGTTCATGACGGCGTCGGCGAGGTTCCGATAACACAGCTTTTCTTGTTTTTGTTTTTCTTCTTCTTCTTCTTCTTCTTCTTCTCATAACTGCTTGTTGGTTTCATGATAACTCAATGTCACACGACCTGAGTGAGCATGGGACTTAAATCTCGGGTTTTGGTACCGTGATTGTTGTGTATACCCAAATGGGATGCGAAATGTTGGTTGCACGACGCCTTCACCCTTGGGCTCGATGCCTACCCAACGTCAAAGAGGAAACAGAAACATGCCCATGGATGAGATGAATTGCATCAAGGAAGCAACCATACCGGGTGTCCTGCTTCGCGTTTTACCCATCTTACACTTGGTCATCGGTAAAGGACAACTGCAGTGTTGCTTCGCATGGGATCGCATTTCTTGTTGCGCCTCGGCGCATCCAGCGGCCGTCTCAACCAAACATCCGAGCAGTTCGATCCTCTCATGCGTACTACTTGTTCATGTCTGCCCTGGGCTGTAACTGCACCGCATGGATCAACCATCACACATCCAATAATACATCATGTTCCATGTTTGTGACGGGTGCTCCTGCTGATTTTGCCCGTTGGGCACTCCAACAAACACCAGACTCTAGATGAGTGTGTTGTTGTAAACATCTGCCCTCCCTCCCCATGAAAGGAGGTTGTGGGGCATTGTTGGTCCCCTCTACATCACTATATTCTTATGTATGCATACAATAGGCTTATTTTAGAAGGCGGTACGGAGTGAATGCATTGTGGATGATGCTGCATCCCCCCTACGTTGATCTCCCAACCGTCTTCACTGCAAAGGATTGGAGTGTGCTTGTTTCATCACCATGTTTACATTGCTCCTTGATCTACGGGCAATAACTTATGCTTCTCATTCAGTCAAAGAAAAACCCGTAGATCAAATGACCCAGGAGGTGCTATTTGCGGAACAATGAGCTGTCTCTTCACATATCACATATCACATCTCCAGGGTAGGGCAGTCGTTGCCGCCGTAAAATGTTCGGTCAATCGCCCTCGGCATTGTCCACTGTATCGATATTTGCAATAAGCTCGGGTCTCTTCCGGCGGCTACTCGGTGTGGAGAAAACGGAACAAGTTGCTGTGCTGAATCTGTGAACCCTCCATTTAGCTAGAACAAAGGCCATGTGCTGGAGAACGTCTGCGGCAGCTGGACATCAACTCAGCGGGTCTCCATTAGACCAAATCACATCAGTTATCTAATTATTTCATTTTCTAATTACATTTTTTTTTTTCATTCATATCTTTAATGCATTCGTTTTCTTTCGCCAGGGAGACGCTCCATTATAACTAGCAATCCTGCTGGATAAGCGCGAATCATGGAGAATGATGGTCGGTCTTGAACAAGCCATGGCATGCCTGATCGGTCAAGGGAGAGATTGAAGAGAGTCATGTGGTTCTGTATCATCCCATGATTGAAGTTGAAGGAAGGCACACCACACCGTCTTCACCAGAAGTGCGTTTGGACAAGAGGAGGAGGAAAAACGGGAGTAACCGTCTTATGAGCTGACAGCAGCCGCTCACCTCTTGCATGGCGAACCTGGTCCCATTGCGGCACGGTATAGAGTGGAACGCCAGGCGTACTCTAATGCGTATCATCAGCCTGTCCGTCTTTGGACGGAGGGCATCAAAACAGAGAAGGTTCCGGCGTTTGATGGCCCAGAAATAGCTGATGTCATACTCACAATCAGAGCTGAAGCTTCGACGTTGACGCTGAGAAGACTGACAAAGAAGACGTACAATGCGGTTCATCCACAAAGCGAGAGTTAGGTAGGGTACCTGCTAAAAACCATTGAGCAACACAAACTAAACAACATCCATTCATTCCCCTCCGCTGAAACAGGCCTAATTTGAAAGGCATATACATTTCCCTGGCCCATTCACACGCTTATTTCAAATATCGCTCAGCTTATTCTCATAAATTCTAGTCGACGGTTGAAGAGTCCGATGTAACAACTTCTTCCTCCTCAAGTGAGGACATCGAGACGAGTCGTCCTGAGGCGCGCAACAAACAGTCTATTCAAAATACGGCCGGATGTCGACCAAGATGGGTCTAGAAGAGGACAATGATTCCTCATGGTATCGCGCCATGCCCCAGCATCTCCGGGAGCTCACGACTCGAACCCGTCAACACTCCTTGTATGTCCGCATTTGCGACATATTTCTTGGCAGAAGGAATGAACCCTTGGACACCAAGCCGCCATTCAAGACTTTCTGGCAAAATATACATGCCGTTTCTACTGACCCTTTCATTACGAATACTGACCTAGCTGCTGTCTATCTTCTATGGCGAGGCGCTACTTCTCACTACCTGATGGCCTCGCCTCTCAAATCAATAATATCCACGTAAAACAAATTGTATAAACGGAACTTGCTTCTTATTGATAACCCGAGATCAGTGTGAAAAGTTCGTTTCCAGCATAGCTTCATGGTTATTAAAGTGATATGAACACGTAATACTTGTGATACGGATCGACCAATTCTCGAGCAAAGGGAGAAGAAACACAACTATGAAAAAGATTGGAGGGAAGGGTCTCAGACAAGCCATATGCGTTAATTAATTGGGTATAATGATGCTTCGCTAAGGAGTAATGGCCGTCACGAAAATCGTGGAATAGAGTATGACACACCATAGCCGCAGGCTGATGTTCCTTGAATCCAAATAAATTACAATCCACGCCACCCCAAGTTTTCCTCCCCCGTAAATGCAGTTGGCATCGTAATTCATGTATAAAGCAGCTTTACGATCTACCACGTTGTCCCAATTGGCAAAGTATGACAAATTCGACTGTGGGAAGACCAACGAAAAAAAGGAACGGGACATTTCTTAGTGTGCTCCCCGATGGCCTTCCATGCCCTTATGATCCACTCCGTCTTCATCTAGTCCCGAACAGTACGCCGCTTCGGTTGTCCTTGAGAACCTGCTCCTGCTTCGTCATCATCATCAGATAATCCATCTTGTCCTCTAGCGTTCTTGGTACGATCGTTGCCCTTCTTTATGGAAATCATACATCCTTGCTCTTTCAGCCGCTTTGCTAAGCTGCTACTCGGCAACATGCCTGGAAACTCCTTGGCACTGTATACGTGGAATATGTCGCTCACGATTTCGGTGAGGATGGGGAAGTGTCGAATCACTCCGGCGCGGGCCGGGTCTATCATAATAAGCGTAAATTTTAGACGGAATGCCCCGGGAGTTCGACATGATAGATCTGAAAAACAGAAGAAGCAGCCCTCCTCGCCGTGATCGTCCATTCCTACAAAAGGGGTTCCGACAAGTGATCCCATGAGTCGCCTTTGATGCTGATATTCTTCAGGCATGAATGATGCGTCTTGTGTGCCCGACTCATCACATATTGAGCAATTCATAACGTAGCTTTCATATCGTAGATAAGATTTTGCTTCATCTTTAGATAGGGAAGGGCCGTCGACATACAGTTGGACAATTGGTGGCGGATCAATGACTCGCCTGTCCCTGTCGCCGAATCCACAAGCCCTTGCGGCTTGTGGTTGCTGTCGCATGCTGAGCCTGAACATGATGCTGTTTACAACGTCTACCCTGTCTGGACTTAGAAGATTGGGGATGTTGGATGAGCCACTGGCCCCAAGGCCCCTGAGAGATTGGCCGGACAACTGCGCCTGAGTTTTCTTCTGACAGCTTGGTGGTTCCTTCGTGGGGATCACGACTGGGTGCTGCGGTCTGTTCGTATCAAAAGGTAGTTCAGACGAGTGAACTGATCGCTGGAGATTGTTGTGATATGGCGGTGGAAAGAAATCTGTCGTGTTGAGTGCGCTTGTTGGGAGTAACCGACTGTCTATGTTTGCTGAGGACGGATGAGCAGAGAGGAGTGGTGCTGTAGAGCTTTGCGAGGACGTAAATTCGATATCACCATCTACGCTCCTCGGGGCTGTCGGAGGTGGCCCATAGGGCTGTGAAAAATGATGGCTATTTGAACCCGTCTTCTCACTTCGTAGTCCAGGAGGTTGCTGAGGTTGTCGGTTAGTGGTGCTATGGGCATTGTTGGTGAAGCCACGTTGGCTTTCGGCCACGGAGGTCCAGTCATTATGCGGAAAAGACATGTCTCTGAAGCCTCCATACCCGAGGATTGCTACTTGAAAGTTGTGTGCCGTGGAAGAGGCACCGAATAGACTGGGTGTCCGCAACTAGCTACACGACGGGCACCCAGCAAGTTTGGAGGTGGACACTTGAGCAAGAGAGAGCGTGTCAGTGCCGTCTTATCACAGGTTGCAAAACACACGGGGAACATTGCAACCACGTGTACCTTAGCGCCGGGAGACTCATCTGAATTAGTCGATGCGGCTTTGGTAACTATTCGCCGTGCTTGATTCGGGAGATCTAACCAAAGCCAGCCGGCCCCGTATTCCTGGAGGGGTGCGGAGGGCTGATGACTATGTACTTCTTGGTCCCGGTTGGTGATGATTCTCCCTCGGTAGAAGTAGAAATAATTGAGGACCAATGGTCATGGGCAGGCCTCCGGGGATGAACATTTGACAGAGGGAAAGCACAGTTAATACATACCTTGATGTCTGGGATGTTCCAGGCTGTGTGAATGATTGAGGCAGAACTCCGACAGAGGTAAATGATTGAATTGATACAGGATAGAAACAGAGACGCCGATAGAGATACCCTTGCACGAGGGCTGGAAGTACTCACAACTGACGGGCAGACACGGTGAACGTTGCTTCCAAAGGTTGCCGGCATACACCCTGGTAAATGCACCGACACTCCCCTGTTCGGGCCTGATCGAGGATCGCGCCAAGCGCCAGGAATTTGGACGATCACTCCCTCGTTGAATCAGAAATGGAGGCCGACTTACACGGCAACGGGAGTCGCAACACTTCTATTGCGACCACCTTTCTCCGGCAGAACCACACAAGACGAACCCGGGCCGCAGAACTCACACCGGTCGGACGTCCTCATGTTTCGAATTTTATTTCCTTTGTATATTTTATTTTACAAGTACAGCCTGAGAGACGGAAGGTGAGCGAAAAAGTAGCGATGGCAGAGTCCTCGACCAAGGCACAAGCCTGAAGCGGGGGGAGGGGTGAGTTGCTGCTAGGGGTTGCTTCATGTCGAGCGAATGGGATATCCCAGCAGTTAGAGACTTGCTCTCCTACATATCTTAACCAGAGACAATCAATCGTGTGTGGTCGTCGGAACGAAATGACACCCTTGTTCATCCTGGCTGGGGAGACCAGTCACTGCTTCGACCGCCCACACAGCCCAGATAGTCCAGAATGTCCCGTTGTACCTTGAAGAAACACCACCATTTTGAAGGGTCGAGCCATGAATCTTAATGGCCGTAACGCGGAGAGCTAGACAGGTCAGATATGACAGATCTCATTTGTGTCCAGTTTAGGCAGCGTACCCCGGCCCAGACACCCATCGTGGGTGTGGACAATCCCGATGCGTTGGAGCCGTTCTATGCAGCCTGCAGCCAGAGAAGCGTGGTAATTTGGTCACTGAAGTAAAGGATTTGCCAGTGCGCCCCAGCCGGAGGAAGAAATGCACATTGCACCCAGTTGCAATAAGCATACGGATTTGCATACGTGACCTGCTATCGATGTCTTTCTGCCATATCGTAGAATATCCATGACTGTGACTATACATAAACTGAACATGAATCTAATTTATGAAACCTGTATGAAGTCGACGGTAAACAAGCGTTTTGAGACAGTAATTGGAATTGTGTGCATATTGACCAAATGGCCCCCTACTCTTCTCCACGTCGTCCCACACTAGTTCCGGACATATTGGCAGCTGACGGGTGTTTAATCGCACCCAACCGGCCGGGCTGGCGGAGATCTTGGAGCTCCTTGAATATTGCGGCCAGATAGGGCGGGTGGCAAGACCAAGCCTGTCTCCCAGCAGACTTGTACGAAGTGCATGGAGTCTTCTGGATGCAAACGTTCGGTTAAGGCGAGAAAGGTACCGTGTCTAGTAGTCAATCCCCGAGCCCATGTTCGTCAGTATCTATCACCGATGCGATAAGGATAGAATTACTCCTGTAAATCCTTTGTGCCTTGATCGATTACCAAGTTGAGCAGACCTGCGTCTCCATGCGGAGAACAGACCGAGGGAGGGGGAAGTAGAGTGATGAATAGCATTGTTGAGGAGGTGTTGAGCAACTTGGTGTGGCGGTGGTTGCATGGCCCCATTTGCTATCGCCGAAAGCCATGCTTGATGACAGGGCATTCTGTGCTTGCTCCCCGCCTCTTTCCGCCTTTTCTTTTGTTTTTGTGCTGGGATGGAGTCGCCCATAGAGGAGAGTAGCACTCCGTAGTCCGTACTCGATGCACCTATTGCACGGCTGGTTGTGGTGCATATCACAGCCTTGGACTATGCATCCCGCAGGAAGCTGAAGGAACTGGACGGCGTGCTTGCTCCTAGCTTGGAACTAATTGTCTTGGTCGTTTTTCATCCACAGCGGACCACAGAATAACGCATTATGCACTTGTTGAAGCCACCCCCTGCTCCTGGCCCTGTTCAATGGGATGGGTTAATAGAGGAGCACCGCATAACCATCAGACAAAAAGAGTATCCTTGATTACTTGCTGTCAGCTCACTGAGTCGACTGTGAATGACGCTCTCAGCTGCAAAGAATGTCGCCATTCATGGTTTCGCGCCATCAAGAGACTACCCAGCCGGCACGACCACAGGCCGGAAGTAGCTTCGTGTCTCCGTCTCGCCGTTGCAAACGTGTGGGCGGATAAGCGTGTCTCAGGCGAGACTCTCCTGACCGTTCACTCCGTAATTGTCTGGTGAGCAGCCTGGCAAAAGCTTCAGAGCTATGTAATAGTAATTGGAACGGCAGAAGAGCTCACTTACCCAGGCACTTGACTTAGGGTTGATAGGGTTGATCTGTGCTTAGCACACAACCCTGTCCCAGGCTTGTGCTCCATGTCGATCGTCGGTTCCTAGTACTAGTCTGTTGTCGCCTGTAAAGTTGACCCCTGCAGATGCCAACTGTATTGGCAAGTTATTCGCTTGTCCAAGATTGAAGCTCAAATGTTGCTCATGTTGCTCAATGCTCGGTCCAGCTTGCAAGGTGCCATGCCAGCACGCCATCTTTTGATCATAGCTCCCGGCAGTTAGCTCCTGCTAGGAATACTAATGCCTGGCCTCATCAAGTCAAGTTGTTGCATGCACCTGCCCCAAGGTCCCAGGTGCTCCTTCCACATGTGAGCAGTTGAAGTATGGCTGCCTTTGGTCCGGACACTTTGTGAGCTGAAGTCTGAAGTACCCGGGTACCTACTACGCGCGCGGCCCCTGGTTCTGGTGACAGCACAACTATCACAAGACAGGTCCTAAATTGTCACCAGCTATCAGAAGTCTGATTTATTGAGTAAAAAAGTTCTGTTTAGCTGTCTTATTATAGCTGATGGGCTGGTGATAGTCACCTAATAGGTACCTAACCCAGGAACCCCGCCTTGTGAAGTTTCAAGTCTTCAAGTATTGACTCCGATCAGTCCCAAGTTTCTGGGTCGTCGACTGGTTTGCCATCTTCCGAGGTTGAAAAGCAGGCCTTGCAATTCCCCACTGGACGTCCCAGATGCCATTTGCATCTGTCGCCTCCACTTGCAAGAACCCCGAACACAGCCGTGACCCTAGTTCCCGGTCCCGACATCCAGCATCCTACCAAGGACGAAGGGCACCCTCAGCACGAGGACTTGGGAGTGCCTCAACGCGCGAGTCGACCCCGGTATGGCGGCGGCAGGCTACCTGCCTACCTATCTAGTGGGTGCTTGGGTAGGAAGAGGCACCGGGTAGCAGCACTGATAGGGCTCTTCTCACGCACCTATAATAGACGACTTCTTCTTCTTCTTTCACTTGCCTTCGCCATATCTAGAGAGCATCCGTCGGGTGAGTGTTGTCATGAAATCAGCTACTACGGGTCTTGTCAAGAACCCTCTGCTTGAGGGGTGAGGGGCAATTAGACATTATCATTAATCCTCACAATAGTACCAGCAGAATACTTCATGCGAGCCATCCTCCTCGACCAAATGCTTCGTTTTTCCGGTCTAGATGTTGAGGTAGTCTGTCGCCGTCTGGTTGGTCCCCGTCAAGGAACTTGGACAAGATCTAGCTACTTTGAACCATGGTGGCTGTAAGAATATGGAACTGGCTACCAAACTTCTGAGAGCAGTGGCCTTGCCAAACACGAAGTTACTACATACTTGGAGCTTTTCAGACTTCAGACACACCGCTCGTTCAGTCCGGTGCCCTACATGCTTGGGCCAACAGTCGGCCTCGGTACGAAACATTTCCCACCCCAGTCAGAATAGCTCTGTTCTGCAAGCCGCGCTGTTCAATGGTCTCTTAGGGTCCCGGAATGATGCTAGCAAACCCACAAGGCTCAAATGCCCACGGTTTTGTAAAGGCATAGAGCACTGGCCGCGGAAAAATTCAAACACCGCCTTGCCTCCGAGAAGCCGTTACCTCGAGTGCCTGGCTAGCAATGTTGCCTGGATTTTTTTTCCTTTTTGTGCCTTTATTGCAACAAGCTAGTTTATCGACTTGATAGTGGGCGGATCGTCCCCTTTTCGCCATAAGTGCGGAGAGCTCATGCGTCTTGGCCAGCCTAGCATGTTTTAGCGTGTATGTGGCTTGACTATCAGCTTCCTCATGAAGGCGTTTGCATAATAGCCAGTGGATGGTCGTGCGCCACTGGACATCAGCGTGGATGTATCTGGTTTCCAAGAACCGGGGCGGTGGGATTTTTCTTGTCATCGTATCATCATCATCTAGGCGTCACTTCTACATATTGACGAGCCTCAGCCGTTGTGACCCGGTTTGTGGTGCCACTCCGCCCCTTATGACCAGTCCCTTCTACTCTCCCTGGTCTCCGAGTGTGAGTGTGCACTGTGCAAATTTGAAGCACTGGGAGACTAGGACCGACCTTGGTTTTTATTACTACTAGTACCGAGCACTCCCTCTGTTGTCATCCAATACGAAGTCTTTTGCTTACTACTCATATCTCGAGGGCGCTGTGTTGGATGTTGATGACATACCAACATGGATTAGACTACTATGAGTTGATGAGGAAGTGAACTACACATTAACGTCTTATTTATACTCTTGTCTTACGACAAACCTCTATACTTCAATATCTTCATACGCCGAGATAGACACGTCAGATTTAGGCAGGACAGCAAGTCAACAAGTAAACACCGAGCATGAGAGTCCTTGATTGGACGAGCACTCTTGACGTTGACGCACCCCGACTAGCTCTCCTGGTACGGTTGTTCATCATGAGCCGCTGGACAGTTGGGCCGTTGGTATGTCTCAGACTACCCGTACGCATACCCGAACACAGACTGACACTTGCACTAAAAAGTGACATCGCTCATCATCTCACCAGGTGGTGTTGGGATGTCGTGTAACCTTCACCTCGTGTCTCCTAGACACTGCAATGACTATAGGTAGTGGGTAGGTAGGGCTGCACGTGCAGGTGCGTCAGCCCGGACAAAGTGGTCACAGGTTATCGCTTCAGCCGGATGCGCCAGTGTTCCAAAGCAATGTTGCGTGCTACCAAGCAAGACCTTGAGAGTTACTTGCTTACCGTCATAGTGACAAAGCGAAGCTGCTTTGAGTGAATATCCTGCTCAACAAGTACTTTACTAGACTGAGGTGGGTTAAGTTGATGCCATGCCCGAGACAATCTGACAATGCACGAATCCCTCCTGTCATCACTTCTCCTCGTCGTACTGTCCCCCGCCAAGCATGTCCACATTCCGTTAAAGATGGATTCAGGCTCCGTGTTCATTGGGCAATCTCCGAGGCAGACAGGTCTCACTTAAAAAAAGCCTGCCACCGTCTCGAGCCTTGGACGAGCTGGGCAAGGTTTTGGTGTTACTACTGCCTCGGAATACGCGGTATCTGTCTGACACAGTGCGTTCTGAGCCACCAAACATGTTCCACGGAATGCCGCTGATCGTGTCCGATGTGCCCTTTTTATGGCTGGATGGCTACTCCGTAGGCTGGTGGAGTTTCGCGAAGTTCAGCATGGATGACGGAGATTTGGCTGCCCGGCTGCCCGAAGTGTTGTGAAGCAAGCAAGACATAGTCACATGGCTATTCTTCTGTTCCGCCCTTGGACCTTTGAGTAATCTTGGCTCGCGGTCCAGAAGCATCGACAGAGTTCTTGGGGTACATGCTGACTAGTACCACGAGGAGCGACCAGTTCGCGCGGCGCTTGATAGCTGGCAATCGGAGAGCTGCGAGTTGTTTGGGGCTGAGTTGCGCATTGCACCTTGCCACACCATGAAAGAATCGAGTTGACCTTGAGCTGTGGCATGTCACACAACTCTACTCCGAAGATACTCGACAAATCGTTACTCTGCCTCGGATATCACACCAGCCAGGCCGTGTCAAACAGCTCTATGCTACCCCTAATTGATACAGAATCTCTAATTTCTCGATTTCCTGGCCCCGTTTCGGCATCATTACTCCCTACTCGAAACCCACTCTACCTGACCATTTCTTTTTTCCTGCGTATGGTGTGCCTAGTATCACTTCCCTGAATGATAATATCTCGAGTGCTGCTCATAGTGCCGTCTGCGGGGTAGATGCAATGCGTGCCGCCATCGTCTCACAACAGTATCGGTCGAGATGCCGGGGATCCGTCATATGTTGCGATACCGTCTTCTCTCACGCAGATCATACGAGTTTCGCTTTAACGACTTCCGGTCGGTTCCTATGTCGATTTATCATTGAAGTGGATCCAACTTTTCCCCGACAAATACCAGCCATGAATAGGAAACCTCATGGACAAAATGAGATGTCGCCTCTCCAAAGTTCGTAGGCTCTATGTACTACTACTCCCTTTACTTCTGGTGGCTGTATATATTTACGGTAGCATCAATACAGGACTAGCAGAAATATTCCACGCATAATGGCAATGTGACGATGATGCAAGAGTAATGATAAATATGTACTTGTTGAAGAATTCACTAGCTTGTAGAAAACCAAGGGTACCAACTCCTGTCTCGCTCCTAGATACATATGTATACGTGCAATAGACAGATCGTGTTATGGACGCTTTCAAAATCCCGCTCCTTGTAACCCAGAATAATTACATCGTGTAATTGTACGCCCCATTGCACAACCATCAATGTGCAATACGATTACGTACTCCATCGGACGGTCATCGTAGAGAATTTACCAAGTCGATACGCCAATTATGAGAATAAAAAATAAAAGAAAGAAACGCCGTCGCAAATCATGCTGTGCTTTTGGTAGTATCCAACCCAAAAGGGAGAAATCCAAGCTATTGAGTAATAGTGGTTGCGAATTAAAGGTGATTAAACGTTCATACATGTATCTTTACATGCGGAGAAATGATTGAGCGTAATTCTAGGGTTATGTTTAAAATTATCGAGCGTCAGTCGTTCAAATCTTCGCCGGAGGATACGCATTACTGTATATATATATATATATATATATATATGTATGTATGTATGTATATCAAGTTGTCGAGAAACTGTCGCTTTCAAAAGTAAAGGGTGAGGAGCCAATTGCTTGATATGTTCAATGAATCGGCGATTGTAAGAACCATAAGAGGAGAAAAAGTGT